AATTTGGGTCTTGAGAGGTCTCCCAAGCGACTCACCCTAAATTGCATTGCACTCGTTCATCACCGTGGCTACACTAGGCCACGGCTCAAATGGCCACCACTACATAACATTTTTTATAGTTTCAGTGCGATGCTGGAGCAAATGAGGGAGGAATTGACAAATTTGTCAGCCGCCTATTCCGCTAAATGCATCGAGAACGCTCAACTCGACGAGCGATTGTCCGCATTGATGGAGGAGCGAGAACGGGACGGCGAAAGGTATGCGCTTTATGTTTTGAACTACTCACTTTAGGAGCAAAAGCAAGGTTAACAAATTTTGCTCTCGCAAATTGAAGCATTACTGATTCAGCAGGTGGTCTTCTTGCAAGCGCCATCCGGCAATATACGGCGGGCATGTGTGATGGCAATGATCTGAAAACCGCGTAAAATATCTTTCGGTGGTAAAAAAGGGGCGAACTTTACGCGAGAGAGAAGGGAATATGTATGGTATGTGAGCCCTTTTCATTTCCCTGGAGCCTTGCCTCCTCCTAGGCTTAGTCCTAGAGGATGTCCCCGTATATTGCGATAGCGCCTATTTTCATATTAGCGATCTTCACAAATGTTCCTCAAAAAGTGGAACTGAGTACTTGATTGATGTACATGTGCCGCATTTATCCTGTACGTATAGTAGTTAGGTTGGACGGGCCGTAGTTGCGGACTTATTGAATTTTGGGAAATTCTAAGGCATATATAGTGATTATAAATGTTTACGAATTTAGGGCGATGTAAGAAACTATGTACCTATTGCTTCCCTTCAGTCTTGACGGTAAAAACTACGGTGTCTTCCCATTTGAGAGTGACTCATCTAAGCAGTACCGTAATCTTGCTACAGTAGTATTACCGCTGATAGTCTGAGTTGCGCAGCTAGTGATGTAGTACCCACTAATTCGTGTAGTTAGAGTGTGTTGTGCTTGAACAACGTTCTGCCCACAGCGCTATGTTTATGTTAGCTGACGTGCATAGAACCCTGCGCTTTAATTGGTGTGCGATTTCTGAGGTCTCAAAGGTTACTGTAGCCAAATTCAGCTCATTCCAGTGAGGACATACAACGACTGCAACGCGATTTGATGGCTCGTGACTCACAAGTCGCCGAACTCCAGCGACGAATTTCAGCGTACGAGCGACGCACCAGCGGCGAATCGCCCATTGTCGCCAGCGGTACGTTCATAGTATGATTACTGCCGCGTTTTCACCAATCAATAAATTTTACCGTAATACTTCAGGACGTAGACGGTCATCATCAAGGTAAGTGTGTGGCCTGGTTGTGATGTGCATGCGTCAATCCTAGATTTAGATGTCATAGTTTATCGCTTACCTAACGTTACCCACTGCAATTGATACGTATTGATTGGTCGGCTTATCTGTCGAACTTATTGATCTGTATCTTACCGGTGTGGTCGCATTGGGTATGCGAGGGAGTGTGACATAGAGTTTAGACATACAAACGTAGTTCATAGCCGGTCGCGGCGATAGACGCGACTTAGTCGTTCTAATCAATATCCATGTTTTCTGTATGTGTGTGCAATCGGGACGCAGCGATCGGCTTTGCGAACATAGTAGTGGTGTCTAGATTTTCTATCCTTTGGTTCTAATATAGATCTTTCGCGCTTAGTTAGCGATTTTAGGGCTCAATTCGACTGCCTGCCACCCCTTTTTTCCGGTATCAGATTTTAGTCGCCTGTCTAATTCTGAGTTCGCCGCCATCCCTATGTTATCCAGTCATGTTTGACCACTTTAATTAAGGTAATAAATTACAGACAAGGACGAGTTACCCTCGGAGGTACCGTGCTCCGAGAAAACCAACTCAGCAGTCAAGTATAGGAAGATGAACAAAAGCCGACGTACTGGTAAGCAGTTTAAGATCGTAACATTTCAGTTGCACCCGCTCTACTGTACGGTATTGGATTATTGTGCTTTTACAGACATTCGCTTCCACAGTAATCCAGTGATTCCGATGCTCGAAGGTGTACCCGAATATTTGGCCGAAGATCTACGTCGCTCGTTAGCGGTGCCCGTCAGTGAACGTCGTAAATTCTTCGAGACAATTGCCGAATACAGTACCCCATTTTGAATGCTGTATCCTATCTGTCTATCCTTCTCTATTTCTGTATATTCCTCTCAAAGTAGACATTACAGTACTCTTAGAGGAGTACGGTCATAATATGGCCCTAGACCTAGCTTTTGAGATTTCGTCTTATCTTATAGTGTACAATAATCTGAAGATGGAGTCAATATGTGAAATTTGTTCTGTTTATTTTTCGTGATTTCCCCTTTCATGTTGCAGCATTACGCAACGCAAGCCGCTACGCAAGTCGCTACGCCCACCCCGCCGCAAATCGCGCTATGTATAGAGTTATAATAAGTAATAAGATTTCTAAAAGCATAAACCAAATGATGATGATGATAATGATTTGATGAAATAGTCCAAATTTGTGATCATTTCCCGTACTATCCTTGTTCTCCTTCAGCCGCTCATTGCAATCGTGTTCCCTTGTCTCTGTGTACGTTTCTGTTTTGCATGTTTTTGTGTGTAAATAAAGGTTTTTGTTTTTTTTCAGTTTTTTACTACCTTAGTTTATACGCCTTCTGCTGAAGAGCTTTATAATTGCCCGTTAAAAAGGCGAGGACTGACAGGACTTTCGATTTGGTAAAGGCAGGGTGTGTGATAAACTGGGTTTGGAAAAGGGGAATTATGCCCACCATAGCAGAAGAAGGCTTGACCAGGAAGCATACGAAAGATGCCGCGTTGTGCTCCCTGAGAAGCCCTTTTCGCGGTGACTGCTATCATCGGGAGAGCACACCTCCAGCTTTTCTAACTGCTAACAGAAAGCGTGTCTGGAATATGTGCATGTGAATTTCGTTATCAACCAAGCATGATGTTCTGTTGCCGATGTGCCCGGCTATGGCAGACCTGTGTCCTCCATAGGCCTCGTCCGGTCAACGGGGCATGAACAGGGTGCCTGACTCGCGTGCGGAGGCCTTTATTATTCCGTGGGTCCCTCAACTAGGTCAGTTTCCCTTTCTTCGACCTTCATTCTAATCGTAAATTCCTCCTTTAAACCGAGCGTAACCGCTGCCTTTAATGTCCTTATTCATTACAAATAAATATTGTTTATTGGTGGTATTTTGTGTTGGATAAAAAAAGCAGAAAAAGTAGGCATCGACCGAGGTATACAAGCAACGACGATAACTTATGATTTTTATACATTAAATACCTAAATAGTTGTCGAAATCGAGAATGTATAACACTCTATGAAACCGGTAGTGGCTCATATAAGCCAAATATAAGCTGAAAAAAAAACTAAAATTCAAGCTTAAAGGCAGCGATTACGATAAAGAGGGAGCGCATCGGGAAGCATATGCACCACACGAAGCAGTTACTTGGCTGCCAAGGAAGCGAGGTGTGGCGCTTTCACGACGAAAGGTGCGCTGGTTGCTGAGCAGGACTTCGAAAGCGCTCCGCCCCAAAAGCGATCCGCCCACTAGTTTAGTTGGTGATTTGGACGAGCTGCGTTGCCAGCAGCGGCACAACTGGAGCAACTCGATTGGAGCGTGGTTTGGCATGGTGCCACCAAACGCGTTGCGGTGAACTCGTTCATACGTCCGCTTTCTGAGCTGTTACCTGTTCATGAGTGAAAACCAACGGCCAAAAAGGGGTCCCGTTTTGCGTTTTCTTGACGGATTTCTCTGCTTTTTTCGCCACTGGCGTACCATTGAGCACCACCACGTCTCTCTGAACCCTCCTGAAATTATCGTAATCGCTGCCTTTAAAAGTGTTATTTTTGATCACGCGGGAAAATCTTCTTCGTCTTTTTCTCCGAAGAAGAAGAAGCGGGAGACTGTTTGAGCGTCCGTCATGCCTCCACTCAGGCGGACCACTTTAGTCCTGGTGTCTCTAGAAAGGTATCCGCCAGTTAACCGATTGAAGAAATTTTGTAGCAGCTTCAGGCTGGAGCGATTACGGTAGGCCTCCTTGAGCTCGACGGTGATGGCAGATGACGTCATATTCTGAAGACGGTGCGGACAATGAAGGAGGGCCTGCTTCTGCTTATGGGGGACACTTTAACCCATGACGGACGGCCAGTGTATTTGTTGCTTGCCCCACAGGGTAGAACAGCAGGGTTAAGACGGGGCTAAAGTAAGTGTCCTTGTCTCATCATCCAAAAGAAGAGACGCCTTTACGCTTTAAAACTTAGGGTGCAAAGAATGAATGGAAGCTGCAGGTGAAATCATGGAAAAATGCGGGAACAACAACCCGAGCAAGGATGTGGCTATATTTAGGGGAAGGGGTCTCGGGACGGAGTGAACCATCTGTAAGCCATCCCAAGCATCCAGAAAATTGTAGCTTTAAAATTGAAGACAAGTTGTAAGTGAAATTTATTGTAGGTTTGTCAAAAATCCACTCGTCCAGGTCCTGGGAAGATATGTTATTCCACATTGCTGAGAGTATATATGGGTATATTAAGATTGCTAGAAACATTCCAAAAACAAAAGAAATAATCGTGCGCCACCATGTGGCGCACGCCGTCCGTTATGGGTTAACGAATATTCTACCATAAAACGTTTATCAGCAACTGCACCATGTGCGTGTATGAAAAAATTTAGATGATGTGCGTCATGGCCGAAGTGACTTTTTTGCCCCCCCCCTGTATACATTTCCTTACTAGTGACCTTATTTGTGATTGAGGATACAAACAAAATGCGAACGTCTTGATCGCGCCCGTCTTGATACATGTATTGTAGGTCAAACAACTCATGGGCGTGCAGCACAGACTTTGTGCCTAAGACACTCCATAATTATTGATTATTCGATGATTTCAACGAGCATCTACTTCTCCGCTACCGTTTTTTTCCTCTGCTTTTTTTGTATGTGTTGAAGGTCAGTTTACCATTCTTAGACGGCGTAGCTCCCCTCAGGCTTCCTCTTATCGTTAGTTGCCTTGTGATCAGTTTTCGCGTCCATTTGAAGCTTAATGCAATAACCTTCAGTTGAAGCGGTCTGAACTTTCAAAGTGAGTCGTCACTCTGATACCCACGCTTCCCTTCGTTCGGCGCCGAAAACTCGGTGCGATGCAGATAGGAGCGAAGCAATTGGTTTTGTAAAGCTGAGCCGGTGCAATACAAGTGCGATGGGCACGCCCATATTTTCGGGTTACGGTAGGCGCGAAATGTACGCGGGCTATGATCTAACGAGACGCTGTGGGAATCGATAATCACTGCTTCTTTGTTGTTTTTTTCTACTTTTGATGGTATTTCCTGCTGGATCGTTCAGATACACAGTATTGATCGATGGACTAACAATAAGCCTTTGGAGAAGAGAGAGGCTCCCTTTTCCAAAAGCTTAGTCCATCGATTATCGTTAGGTCACAGCACTGGGCTGCGGTCTCCACGCAAACATTTCGCGTTCTACGACGTCACTCGAAAATACGGGTTGCATGTATTGTATTGCACCTGCCGGTACTTAACGAAATTTATGAGTACTGTTGTCGCTGGTGTTGTACGGTGAATGGACAGAATTAAGTGAACGAAGGAGTGGAGCTCAGGTGATGGGTGGGGGGGTGGGTGCATTCAACTTGTCATGCGTGGAAAGCTGGATATTTATGGCTCACTCTATGTGCGTCTAGTCACGTCATGGAGCAGTGCGCGCGTTTCTACGGACCACGTTCTGCGCCTACGCTATTCAAAAAATCGCACGTGCCCGTCTCGATAGCATCGTATGCGAAACTCCACCATCAGAGTGAACACGCCCCACGACCGTCAGCTCAAGGTGGATAAGTAACCTCAATGGAGGAGCGGTAGAGGTGCTTACGGAGACTGCAAAAGAGCCTTTCAGTTCTACAGCTCCAAAACTAGTCGTAAGGACGCTAGGGCTTTGTAGAAGTGTTGAACATCTTTGAACCTATGTCTCATTCTCTAATTATCCGCACAGCATGCCACTAGGGTTGAAGGCCGACCTCTCCTACACCTTGTTGCTTCTATTGATAGCTGGACATAATTCTCTACGAAATATGTACATCTATACAAAACGCTCCATTAGCGTCAAGGGCCTCTAGATTACTTGCACGAAAGCAGCTGCTGTTCGAAAAACTCTTCCAGTCAGGCCCTCTCCCCAGCAAGGCTCCTACATGCTGCCAGTCGAGGGCGATAATGGACCCTCGGCGCGCTGTTGTTGGACGCCTACTGCGCGAAGGAGTATCTTAGCGCTTCGGAAGTGATCGATTCACAAAAAGGACAGATCTCGATTCGAGGTGTCTCCTGTCCAGCGTTTTAAGTCTTTTCCGGCTTTGCCTCAAGTCATACGCCGCACGGGACGAAAAATATGACGGTAGAAACAAAGCCAGGTTCTCGCGTCCATTGACTTTTACACTGAATTGTGTATACGAAAGATTGGCCCAAGAAGAACGGCTGAAGAACTTCACATCGGTACTCACGGAATGGAATGGAATGAGCAGGGTGAGAGACTGTCGGAGTTTATCATGTCGACCAACACCATCCATGGTAACTCACAGTTCCAAAAGCCCCCTCACCTTCGTTGGACTTGGGAGTCACCTGATGGACAGTTCCATAACGAGATAGACCACATCATCTTCAATCGAAGGTTTTGCCTGACCGACGTCGCTGTTGTTCCAAAGTTCTACACGGGATCGGACCATCGTCTCCTCCGCGCAAGATTCCACTTCTCGATGCGTGTTGAGAGAGAGCAGCAAAGTTCAGGAAGCGAAGCCCCAGGACAACCACCAACTGGGACCACTTCGCTTCTCCTTGTCAGCTTATGGGAGGATTCCGTTATCGAGAACATCGACGAGGAATATCATCGGCTCGTTGAACACCTTCACGAGAGTGGCAGGAAGGCAGAGAGTTTGAAAGTCACCAAAGGACGTCTGTCTACGGAAACTCTCGAGCTGATACGCCAACGTGGAGCCGCACGAGCTGCAGGCAATCACCAACTCACGTCCGAGCTTGCGAAGCTATGCAGAGAGGCGATAAAGGAAGATCTCAAGGAGCGAAGAGCAGCAGTATTAGCTGAAGCAGCAGAGGCTGGGAGGAGCATCCGCAATGCCCGCCGAAGCT